TGGGGGAGAAGGGCTGCATCCCACATCCCTGCACACTGGGGTCTTGATTCAGATCTGGTCTTTGCATGCCTGGGAAACACAAAGCTGTAAGAACATGTATGTCAACCTAACCTATGGACCTACCTAGGAAAAGTGTAACACATAGTTAGTCTCACAGGCTCTGCAAGCTTTTGTAGTAGGAGGACATCATAACTGGTAAGCATGGCTCCAAAAATGCTTCCGATGCGCTCTGAAGATATCTCTTTATTGAGTTCTTCAGCTGTAGGTACTATACACATCTTAATAGGTCCAGGTCCTGCTCACTAATTTCTCACCCAGGTCTTACTCAAGCAATGGAACCACTCCTACTTGAAGCATGATGGATCCCCAAGGACCCTAGATCTTTGTGCCCCACCATTTCCTTTCTGGCTCACCACCTTCCAATCAGTCAGCCTCTATTGCTTTTTCCATTACCTCACCTTTACTCAATGTCTGCTCTTTCTCTGTCTCATCTGTGTCTGGCTCCCTCCTTCATGTCACTGCTCTCACTGACCACCCTCTCTTGGTGTCCTTCTAAAGCTCCCCTTGTTTCCTTCTTTCCCCGGCCCTCTCCTTTGCCTGCTTTCACTGCCCTGTCATCTTCTAACATCTTCCCTGCCTTTGCTGCCCTTTATCTGAAGTTGAGTGGGCATGTCTCCACCATCCATCATTCCCCCAGGCCCTCTGGCTATGCCATTTGGCCAATCCCTGACTGCAGTAGCAGTTGGAGTAACAGAGCTTTGTGTGGGCAGGTTCCCTCTCCACTTCCTTGGCCTGGTCTCCCCTTGGGAAAGCTCTTTCGGGATAGAACCCGGAATGGAGGGGAGCGATAGTTCACAGGCAATGAGGCCTCCAATATACCTCTTCAGCTCTCTGAAGAAACTGTTGTCTGTGTCCAGTCTTCGTGTAGTATAGTGGCTAGAGTGTCAGTCCAGGACTGGGAAGTTCAAATCCCCACACTGATATGAAGCTCATTGGGTGACCTTGGGCCAGTTTACATACACTCAGATGAAATGGTTGTTGAGAAGATAAAATGGAATCATGGACACACCTGTCATTCCTTGGACAAAAAGTAGGTTGAAGATGTAACAGTGGGGAATTTCACATTACCTGTCTTCTCCCGGTTTCAAGCCGGGAGTCTTCCGTTTGCAGATGAACCGGTAGAGGGCTGCCGTTTCACACACGGCTTGCCCCTACCGGAAAGGAGCCGATTCAGAAGCGGTTCGGCGTTTCACACACGCACCGCTTTGTTTCCCCACGGGTTTTTTTTTAAAGTCCGTCTTATAGCGATATATCGATATACCAGTATTCCAATGTATTCCAATGGGATCGGTATAGCGTTATATCGATATATCGATATAAGCCGAACGTTCAAAAAAAAAAAGCCCGCGCGGCTGAAAAAAGGCGGGAAAGAAGCGTATCGGAACCGGGAGAGGGAACGGGAGCCTCCTCGGAAGCGGTTGACAGGTAAATTGGGGAATTTCAGACAGGTGCTTTCTCCCGGTAGGGAACCGATTCTCAACCGGGTGCTGGTCTGTCATTTCAGACAGAACCCGGTTGAGAATCGGTTCCCTACCGGGAGAAAGCACCTGTCTGAAATTCCCCAGTGTAAACCTCAGTTTGAAACTGACTGTTTCCCCCTTCTGCCTTGCTGCCTGCCTTAACCTGTAGAACTGGGTTTGGGAGTCTGCATTTGCTATTGTACCAGTTTTTGCCCTGAGGACAGTTGCTCTCATTGTTCATTTGTACAGCTCACAACTGAAAGCAGCTTCTTTTTTCTCCCCAGCACTGAAAGTCGAGTAAGGGCTGTGCAGTGTTGTGGTGGTCCTACAGTGAAGGGAAGGAACCATCACTCCGGGTCAGAGTACATATCTGTTGCATGTAGAAGTCCTAGTTAAAACGATCTCAAAGAGGCTTTTCCCCAAGACACTGGCCCTGAAAATCAAGCATGGGCTATGCAGTGCTATGGTGGTCCCGCAGTGAAGGAAAGCAACCATAGCTCAGGGTCAGAGTACATATATGTTGCATATAGGAGGTCCTAGTTAAAAGGATATCAAGTAGGCTTCTTCCCAAGACTTCATAGGACCACCAGCAATCAGAGTATACAGTACTGGGAGGAATGAAATAACGGTATGGCACAGTGTCAGGTATTCCCAATGGTCCCCAGTCAACTATGCTGAGGAGTGTTAGGCAGCATAGGATGAAGATCCCTGGAAGTGCTTCATAAATGCTTCTAATACTGCAGATGAGCAATCGGCAGATGGTGCTGAAACCATTCAAGATTATAGCAAGGCAGTTCCTACAAACTGACACGACTTCTGAACAACTCGTGACATGGGAAAAACACACAATATGTACACACATTCTAACAAAGTCAAATTCAGGGTCCAGAGACGGATCTTTTTTCAGTGTCCTGAAGCCAGACTGCTTTGAGGCTTCCGAGATAGGGGGTACCATCTGGCGGCCTCTTTTCCAGCCACTAAGGAGGTGGGCAGTAACAACAGAGGGCAGGCTGTTAAGCTGATTCTGAAGGCGGGTAACCTCACCCAGAGTTCATTCATTCCCAGTCAGTGTTATAAATGCTACTATTGATGGATCACAACTGAAGCCCAGATTCCTTCTGCAAATGAGCATTCTCTTTTGGCTCCAGATGCAAACTAGCTCCTAGAATAATAATAAACACTTTTGGGGGTAAAGGGTGGCTGTTGTCCCTGCGACAAAGGAAAACATTTTCAGTCTGTGATGGTAGCAGTTTCCTTTATTATGGACAGCAAAACTGCATCATCTTTGGAACCCAAGTTGGGAAAGTCATAGTAGTTAAAAGCCAAATCCTTATGAAACAGTATAGTGTCCAGCATCCTAAATTCCTACAGTGGCACCGATACTCTGTTTGGAAGCCTGGAACCCAGGCTTGGAGGCATAGCCCTCTCCTATTGTCACCACTAGTCCAGTGCATGTTACAGTGAATGCACGTATAATTGATGTACAGTGTACAAATGATCCCTTAGCTGTGACCATACATAAAGACCAAACGTTCTACACATGATCCTCCCACTATGTGCAATCACAGTGTCTTTTGAAAATGGTAACACATGGATTTCCACCCTTAGAATCCACATACAAGATATCATGACCCATAGCTAGACAGATGTATTCTCCATGAATTTGTGTACTCCTCTTTTGAAGTCATTTTAGCTAATGATTCTCATCAGACAGCAGCAAATTCTTTAAGTTAATTATACATTGTATAAATAAGTACATTCCTTTATATGTCCCCATAGGCTACAATGAAGCCAGAAAAAAATGATTTTTTTTGCACAACCCTGTTGTGCTTTTCAGTATGATTTGTAAGCTGCCTTGAGTCATAGTGAAAAGTGGGATATAAATATTTGAATAAATAAGTAGTTTGGGCAGGTTGATAACATTTATGCAACTTCCTGTTAGGGAAGGCAGGATTCTGACAGTGATTGTTCCTCCTTTGTTATATTTGACCTGTAACGCTGGTTGTCAGATTTCACTAAAAAAAACCCAACAAAGCAGACTGCAAGAGAACGCCCCCCCCCCCCCCCCATGTGCTGGTATATTTTCTAAGGCTTAGCACAAGGTGACAGTCTAAGGCCAGGTCTACCAATATAGTTGCCTGTGGCAGACCTGTTCTCTGGAGGCCACATCTACCAATATAGTGGAAAGGAGTGGGTAGACCTGTTCTCTAGAGGACAGGCCTATATTGGACTGGGGTAGGTAGACCTCTTCTCCAGAGGCCAGATCTACCAATATAGTGGAAAGGGATGAGTGAAATTTGACTTGATTCTGTTTTCTCTTCTAATGTTTAAAGTATTCTTAAAATATAATTTAAATATAATTTAAAATAGTTTATTCTGAGATGTTTACAAGATTATGGAAGTAATCTTCTAAAGAAACTAATTTACGTGATAGTAAAATGTAGACTCCCAACTTTAATGCTGCTAGCTATTTTCGCTCACGAGGTGGAATTTCTGCTCATGACACTGTGGAGTTTAGAGGGAACATTGCCTGTAACTTGGCTGAGGTGCAACATAATTTGTTTACTGTGCTATAAAGCATTGTTCTTCACCTAGAATACAGTTTATTATATTTACAGTTCTTTCAAGCAGTAACCATTCTGCATTAATACACACCCCAGAGCAGAAATGAGGGCATACAAGGATGAGTTTACACTGTTCTTGTGATAATTGCGAGTTTTGATGGATAATCTGGATGTGAGACACTGAAGATTTGAAGAAAAAACATTACCTAGATTCTGAAACCCCCATGCCAGACCATATTTACTTCATAGCATTTTACTTTGCAATTTGTAACATTTGAGGTTAAGCTTTTTAAAATGCAAACATAGTTTTTTAGAAGTCTCTAAGAAAAACTTCATTACAAATTATTTCTCTGTTGTACAATATCCTAAAAACTGTTGAGAAATCCTAAGAGGTTTTCCCCCACCATCTCCATGATACAGTGTTGGACTTATACTGCTAGTATGATCATAGTACAACAGGAAATAAAAGAAGGGGGGCAAATTATTGCCTAATTGTCATCATTTAAGGAAAAACAATAGAATGGGATGGAACTTCTATGATCTCTGCTTTGTTCTGTACTATTATCAGCTACCCCCAGGAAATAATATATTTGAGACAGAAAACTTATTAATTCTGTTAAGCAGAAATTCTGTTCCTCTTGCTTCTTCAACTATGGTTTGGTTAGCTTTAGTTTGCGCTCTGGAAAAAGCAGATCTAGCACTGCTGCAATAGGCTTGCACTTTTGAGATGGTACCATTACTAGGGCCCACTAAATAGTTCCCAGGAAGGCTGGCACACTCCCCAGCTAATGCCTGGATCACTTTTCCAACCACATTTTTAGTACCTTAAGAGAGAGGCATCATGTTGCACTCACATAGTCCTTTTAAAGTAGGGGGAGGAATATTTTTTCTGAGGAGTGAAATTAACAAGAATCTGTTTGCAATCTGGCCTATTTAGGGTTGAAATAGACAAAGATTTCTGTGAGTCCATAAAAAAGGAAATTGCGAGTACAGCCATGATTTGGATTGGAGCCTTGCAGGAAGGGATGAGGGATTTAAGGCCCAGTTGGTTTTGTTAACTGGCCTTCTCAGGCTTCTGTTAGCATTTTGTTAAGGGGGAAAAAAGAGGTATCCTTTTGAAATGTTTTTTCCCCCTTTAAAAAGCTAATAATAGCAAAGGGAGCCTGGTTTTGAAGGAAGTGGGGCTTGAAGAGTTAAATTCTCTTATCCTTTCCCATATGGCTATGATTGCAGCTCTGTGAGCAGTTTACCTTTTTCAGAATAAAGGAGATCTGTGGGGGTTTTTACATCTGGTTTTGACCCTCAGTTATACATCTCATTTGAATTCTATACGTTTAAGGAGCAGCTGCAGTTGGTAGTTAGGAAAATGGAGTAAGCAGGCTTCTTTCCCACATATACACACTGTGAGGTTGAGCAGCAATAATATAGAAGTCACTCTGGTGTTGATTTATACAGAAATTTATTTTACGTAAGTACAGGCACTCTTAACACCTGCTGGGTTTGATTCCTCCATAGTGCTGCATAGACAACTATGAAGAAATAGTCAAGCTTCTCCTGAACCACGGAGCCAATGTCAATGCAAAGGACAATGAATTGTGGACTCCCCTCCATGCAGCAGCAACATGTGGGCACATCAACTTGGTGAAGATCCTGATTCAGCAGTAGGTGACCCATGAGACATTGTGCTATGCTGGGCCAGCCTTGAGTGATGGATACTGTGAATACAAGTTGGGGTTCCCAGGCTTTACCTTGCATTTCCGGGCCACCCCTTCTGCTTATGGTCTATGATAATTACAGCATGCATTCCCACACTGCCCCTGTGAGCCAGAACCTAAAGGGCAGCATTGGGGCCAAGACATTTGAGGTGTCCAGCTATATAATTGTCATTATTGACTTCGTTTCCAGAACAACTGTCCTGATATTCCCGTGGACAAGCACCCCAAGTATTTTGACCTAGATATGATTTGTCTGCCCTACATGGATAGCCCAGGCTACCCTAATCTCATCAGATCTCGGAAGCTAAGCAGAGTCGGCCCTGGCTATTATTTGGATGGGAGACCTCCAAGGAATACCAGGGTCATGACATGGAGACATATAATGGCAAACCACCTCTGAACAACTCTTGTGTTGAGGCAGGGTCACCATAAGTCACCTGTGACTTGGTGGCACACAAATGTAATGATATTTTTGGAATAGACTTGGCAGAAGACAAAATATGGATTTATGCTATGTGCCTTGCCTGTTCCCATGGAATGTGAAGTAGTGTGTTCATGGATAGGCAGAAGGGAGATTGTGGACAACTGGTGGCCTGTTTGTGTTGGACCACCTAGTGCTGTTTGGTTGCTGTGTTGTTTCAAAGAATTTAACCTTGCAAGGCTTGTCCCATGCTCTTAAGCAAGTATACTCAAGATAATGTAATACAGATTAATTGTGACTTATGTTACAATATCTGTAACATGCACTTTTGGTTTGGAAGATTAACCTGCATTGGTGGACCATGTGGGTTCTACTCTAAAACACAGTAAACTGCACACGACTGACATCAACCCATCCTGAAAGTTTAATGGCTGTTGTGAAGAAGAAGAAAAACCCTGTATATTGCCTTGGAGGAAAGGAAGGATACAAATGTGATGGACAGATAGTTTCTGTTTGGCCTGAGCTTCAATAATAAGAAGAATGTCACAGTCCTTCCCCAGTGGTCTCTCTGTACTGGAAGGGGCAATATAGAGGGATTTTTTTTTAGCAGACTACAACACAGTATGCTGTTGTTCCTATCAAAGTAGTATTCTGTAAGAAGCTTTTCAGATCAAAGAGCCTGTTTGAATATGGAATCAAAAGGCTTCAGTGTCAGAACATGGAGCCCACAGAGACCTGTGGAAGCAGCAGCCAACACAAAGGATGTCTGATCCTGTCCTTTGTTTGCTGATTTAGACGGACTCAGTTTAAAAAAAAAAAAAAAGCTTGCATTTTTTACATTGTAATTTCTTCTTTTCCCCTGGGAAGGGAAAATGAACATGAATATAAATGTGAGTGGCTGGTCGGTCTCCACTTCAAAGGCTGTAAATGTCAAGGCACATCAAGCTTAATCTGTATTAGAATATTATTTGCACATTGAGGCTGTGTGTGGTTCAAAATGCATTAGGACATTCCTAGATGTTTATTACAGGAACAGGAACTGCCTTGGTGAAGCCGAAAGGTGGGTCTGTCAGTCTTGGGAGTCCTGGCTGAGACTTGAACTCGAACGGAGGGAGATGACCAAGGAAAACTGTGTGAGAGGGGACAGTGAAAGTGTGTGGGGGGGCATCCTTGTAATGGACAGAGAGTATGGAATTTTTTTCAGGGATTTGTATTGGGAGTCAGGTTCTTTTTAGCAGTTGTCTTTCCATATCTCTTCCAGCTGGGGTGGGGGAGAATCTGACACAGATCACAGGTGCATGATGATTCCAGCTCATGCAGTGAGTTAATGCTACTAATACTTAGCATTTATGTAATGCTTTCAGTGGTTCAAGTGCCTGCACTCCTTGGCTGGGAAAGATTTCCATCTGCAGAGGGTGACTCCCCCCCCCCCGCAGCCCCAGACCCCGTTGCCCACGTTATTCTTGGGAGTTCCCCTGTCCCCAGGAACAGCATGTTAGGGGGCATTTTGGCCTGTAACAGGAGGACAGAGGTGAGAAAGTGGTGTCCCAAAGGCGGAAATCCTTCCATCCACAGAAATGCTCCAGTGGGGCCAAGCCATTATTTTGTTGTAGTCCTTATATCAGCTCTGGAGGGCTGGCCAGCATTATTGTTCCTGTATTGCAGATGGGGAGTTTAGGATGCTAAAAAGTATCTTGAGTAAGGCCACCTGCAGAACTGGTGGGAGAACTGAGATTTAAACAGGAGATCTCTCAGATTATTGATCATTCTCTTAACCACTCCACCACATCAGTTTTTGAGTGTACAAGGAAGTAGAATGCTCCCCACAGAGACATGGATCCCTGGGGTGAAAATGAACATGTGCTGGGATTTGAACCTGGGACCTTATACATGCCAAGCAGATGCTCTACCACTGAGCCATAAACCTTCCCCTAACCCAAGACCAATGGACCTATATTGTTTTACGCTGCTTTGCTTCATTCATTTGGCACTTTAAAGACCTGGTCAAACATGTTTCCGATAAAGAGATGTTCATTTGAAGCATTGTTTGGGTCATCATGCATCCCCTCCAGTGGGCCTGGAATGTGCATATAGCTCTCATGCCTGGCTTTCTCCTTGCAGTGGGGCAGACCTACTGGCTGTGAATGCAGATGGAAATATGCCATATGACCTCTGCGAAGATGAGCCAACCTTAGATGTCATTGAGACCTGCATGGCATACCAGGGTAAGGCTTGGTATGAAAACATGGTACTTCAGCTGTTGGTCCATGTCTCCTCTTGCATTTTCCTCCCTATGGTGTGGTACAACTTTATTTGCATTTGTTTACTTCATTTATAGTCCACCTTTCTCATTGAGACTCAAGGCGGATTACAGAATTAGAAAGCAATGCAATAGAAATGAGTACAATTTAATGTGAGAAACAGTGCAGTAAAACTGGATTACAAAACTAGGAACCAATGAAATAAAAGTGGCAACATAAATCGAATAGAAAGAAGGGAAATACTGTCTAAAAATTTCAGACACTATAACTACAATCCCAATTGTTTTATTAAAAAGAGCACTCTGGAACAGTTCTGTTTGAACCTTTCCCTTGTTACTACCATCCTGTTCCCTTTATTAAAATGTCCTCCTGAACTACTCCATTGCATACATTTTACAGAACAGCAAAAACATGGGTGTCCTCCTAAAACTACAATCCAAGTTGATCTGAGCAAATGAGTTATCTGCTGGGCAGAGCAATCCTGTGTTGCATCTGTACTGTGGCGGCCAGCTGCGGTGCAGCTGTGGCACCATTAGTTGCCTCCCTAAGGGGATAGTTACGGGGCAGCCAAATGGGAAAAAGGTGCCCCAACAGCACTGCTGGGCGCTGCCACAGCAATATTTGTGGCAATCCCACCACAGTGTTCCATTCTGCCATTGCAAGGTGGGGCGGCATGATAGAGAGGGCAGGCAGGACCACTGGGAGTCCTGAGTTGAGGAGGCTGAGCCAAGCGCCTGTGACTGGCAGGTGTGTGGAGAGGGACGGGCCACAGGAGTGATGCTCCTCCTCTGCCATACACACCATTTAAAGAGACCAGCTCCCATTACTAAGCCCTGGCCACCTGTCAGTGGGGAGGAGGATCAGCCCTGTGGGCACCCCATGGCGGTGCTCTGTGCACAGGACCCCAGAGGGTGACAACGAACAAGAACGTTGTTGTGAAGGTGCCCCTGCTCACTGCCAGCTGCGGTGTCCAGCAGGTTCCCCACACCATCGAGGGTGTCCCTGTGCCAACCCACTTGCCACTCCCACCGGAGGCACAGCAGGAGGAAGGGAAAGGAGTGTTGGGGGCCCCAGAGAGACTCAGACAGAGTGCTTAATTGGTTGACGACGTCAGCAGTGAACGTCAGGGAATAGGGACCTGGGCACAGGGGGGAAACACAGCAGTCAGTCCATGGGAGGCCTTGGATCCCGCCCATCCCAGAGGTGCCTCACCTCCCTTAGCCCCTGCCCTGGGAGCCTGACCATCTTGGTCCTCCTCCCCATCACTCAGCTCCATCTCCTCCTCACTAGACATGTGAGACTGAGGTCCTTGGTGAGAGGTCCCGGGGTGTGTGTGTTGCAGGAGCACCCCAGCTGTGGAGATGGGGGCACGACTATGATGGAGACACCCTCCTCTGCAGGGGCACGGAGCAGTACCCAGCGACTCTGGCTGCCACTGCAATCTTGGCCCTCCTTGCTGACTTTGGAGGACAGGCCCACAGCAGCATTCCTACCCTACAAGTTGGGGGCGGACAGTAGTGGCGACCATGACATGCACCACACATGACTTCTATGCCACGATCACCTACCACCATGGGGGTATCACCACCCACATGATGGCTTCTGCTCTTGGCAGACCTTCCTCCCCCACCTGCTTGTAAAGAATACCTTTGGCCCCGAGAGCGCAGAGTCGCTTCCAAGTGGGACCAAAGGAATCATTCCAGCATTTTGGAGTGGACATCTCCACCTGGACAGCATGTCCCAGGGCAAAGTATGAGTCCAATAGCATCTTTAAAACCAACAAGGTTTGGTTCTCTGTATGAGTTTTTGTGTGCAGGCACACTCCTTCAGATACAAGGAAACAGAATTTACCAGTCCATAGATGTATGCATGTCCCAGGGTAGACACCATTCTGTGGCCATGAACCAAAAGGCACGGTGGCAGGAGGTGGCGGAGCTGCTCCTAGGGCTCACAAGGGCAACACTTGTATGCTCTACCACCAACCTGTACTGCAGTACCTTCTCGACCTTGTTCCAGTTTGGCTAGTGATGGCTGTCCCCACCATCAGATACACAGGGGAATGTGGAGGGAAGCCATCCCATCATGGGAAGATGCCAATCCCCTCACCCTGCCCTGCCCCCCATGCTCCCACCATGGCCATCACCCACCAGGAAGTGGATACCGGCCATGGGCAGCGAGCCTCTCACAGAGGAGGTAGGTTGCATCTGGGAGGGGGACGCCACCTACATGGATGACTGTGGCTCTGGCTGCTCCCCTTTTTTCTGCTGCACCAGGCCAGGTGGGATGGTGCCCCCTCCTGCCCTTACCTCCCATGCTTGGGGTGTGCCACATTCACTTGCTACTAGCCCTCTACGTCTGGGTGGCACAGCGCCGGTGGAGATGGTGTTGTGCTTACCAGTTCCAGGCTCCCATCACCATTCTCCATCTTTCAGACCGCATCTGCCTCAATCAGTTTTGCCTGGACATCCAGGCCCTGTGCGAGGAGGTCGGGCCAGCCCTGCAATGCAGGGCCAAGCTCCCACTTCCCATGCCATCCCCATCTTGCAGAAAATCCTGCTCTCCCTGTGCCATACTCCACAATATCACCATACTGCAGTGCCTCCTGCCTCCCCTTGGTGGGGCAAATGTGGAGGGTCCATGGGCCAGTGTCATTGGGGCTTCTGTGAGGCAGGACCTTGGGGCCATCTTGAGTGCGAGTGTGTGCAGGAATGCATGCATCTGACAGCAGAGGCATTCCAATGGCTGTGGCAGCAGTTGAGGGAGCCTCTCCTCTCTTCAGCCCTGGTTGGGAATGACAGATCTGCTGGTGGCCTGCCCATGACTCCTGAACCCTGCTAAGGTGCATGGGGGTGCCACCAGCCCTGTATGGGCTTCCCCCCAAATGAGGGCTGGGCTGGGGGCCAGCACATGCCCCCATTTGGGTGTCTTTGGAACTGACAGAGTGGTCTGTTTGCTGGTATGGATTGAACACCGCACCAACCCTGGGCACACCTGGCCAGTTACAGGGCTCGGTCATATCTGGGGTTGTGCGCCTGTGGCCCAGCTGCCAAAGCCATGGTGGCCTCTGGCATCCAAAGGGGTCAGTGAGGTTGCTCCCATGGGGGCCGCATGCACCTGGGACCCTTGGGTCTCCATGGCTGTGGCCAGGAGGTAGCCCAGCCCTGTCAGCCATTTTGTTTTTAACATTTTTAGGATCAACTGCAAAGGGGAAGGGATGACAAGGACTACAGAGTTAGGAATTTCTGCCAAGTGAGATGGTTAAGCCATGTGTCAGTCGCCCCTCTGGTTGGACAGCTGTGGTGTAACTTCTGCAAGGAAAACAGGGGGGTTGTGGATGGGACTGCACATCTGTGTGGATAACCAATCCCTCCACAGTGCAGGCCTCCTGCATCCATGCCAAAACAGGGCAAATGCTCCTAGTTCTGTGAGCATTGGGCCCTGGAATGCTGTTGCGTTTCTGGAACCTGGATCTCAACAAGCAGTGACAGCATTTACTGACATGGTTGCCATGCTGCTGGAGGACCATCTGAAAGGGCGATGTGCATATTGTTTGCGGTGCCCATCACTAGTGCTGTGGGCAGCCAACATTGCTCAGTTGCCACTGTTGCTTGCTGTTCGAGCCCCTTATTTGTATACCCAACTATTCCCCGGGATGGCTGGGATGCGGATGGCCCTAGCGAGGCTCCAGAGGGCTATGCCTTCTGAAATTGACCATATCTGCTCTGCAGTGCTGTCAGCTTTTGGTCAAACCTCACTGTGGTGGCAGGCCTTTATGCCAACAGCTGTATTCCAACAAGAGGTCCAGCACTCCTTGTCAGACTACACCAGCTTGCCAGTGTGAACCACCTCCCCCAGGGCTGCTCCGGAACTGCCTATCCATGTCACTGCCCCATGGGACCCCACCATCCCAGGATGTCCCCCCCCTCCACAAGGTGAGCTGGCCGACCCTCCAGTCATGCCTGTGCGCTGTGTGGTTGTGGCTGGGGAAACAGTGGCCTGCCCCTTTTTCTTACCCTTCCGCCCATCTGTGTCCATTTCTTTGGTTGCAGTCTTGCCAGGATGAGGCCTCTACCCCTATTATGTCCACCATCTCCTTGTTGCTTCCTCAACACCCTCCTGCCACTCCCTCCCCCATGGATCCCCAACAGATAACAACACTTCAGACAGGCACGATGATTCAACTGTATTAAAGGAATCCAGGGGCAATGGAGTGGTTCCCATGGGATCCCAACCCTTGCAACCGGTAGCCCTTTTGGCCCTTCGCTGCTAGGGGCACCTCCTTGATGGCAGTGGGGAGGGAATGACCAGGATGCTGGATGTGTCTGGGTGTTTACAAGGGGTGGCTTCTGCTGCAGTGTTGTATACTTGATAGTGTTTCAGCTGCGCGGTTGGGGTGTTGCCTCTCTCTGTTGGATTGGCACCCATATGTGGTCCAAACTGGCCATGTTCTGTTGGGGCAGAACAAAGGGCCATTGGCAGTCCTACGGGGCCCTCCATGCGGTGAAAGGGGTGCCCCATCTGGCACTCTGATGCTGCAAGAGACCCCTTGGTGGAGGTTTCCACATTCTCCTCATCTGAGTTGGTGTCCTGTCGGCACCTCCCTGTAATGGAAGAGGAATGGTGTTAGTGCCTTCGTGGCATACTGATCCTGGACCGGAAAGGGTATGGCCGTCATTTATATCACCCAGCACATAGGTTGGTGGTGCTTCCCGGCCGCCGCAGGGTTTTGGCCAGGAGGGGTGTTGTGACCTGGCTAGGTGAGCAGGCTACTCCATGGCCATCACAGTGCCCCCCCCCGGCCACTGTCTTGGTCAGGCCTCAATGCATCTAACCACCTGGTGTGCGGGATCCATGTGCATCTGGGGGTCCACTGTTTGCCCCCAAGGGGCTGCTGGGTTTGGGAGGGGGAGACGCAGTGTCCAGTGCTGCTTGGTGCCACTGTGGTAGACCCAGGGGAGGTATGGGGTAGGGGACTGGGAGAACTCTGTCTGCTGACCTGAACTCCAGGAAGAAAGGTAGTCATTTAAGATACTCCTGTCAGGCTCCTTCCCCTTTGTCTGCTGTGGCAGGGAAAGGCTGCATGCTGCAGAATTTGGGGAGGGGAGGTCCCTGTCACTTCCTTCCCCATTTAGAAGACTACCCTCAACAGGCAAGGGAACAACTGAGCAGGACCTGGTGTACTTGGCCTAGGCCAGAAGGGATTCCCCTGAGCAGCTGCATTCTTTCCACCATTCCTCCTTCAAATGTAAAGGACCCAAAGCGGGAGAGGAAGAGCTGATGAATTTTATCTCCCCCGTCACTTGGTAACACATGAACACATACGAAGCTGCTTTATATGGATCCATCAAGGTCAGTTTTGTCTACTCAGACTGGCAGCAGCTCTCCAGGGTCCCAGGCAGAGGTCTTTCACATCACCTGCTACCTGGTCCTTTTAACTGGAGATGTGGGTGTTTGAACCTGGAACCTTCTGTATACCAAGCAGATGCTCTAGCTCTGAGCCATGGCCCTTCCCCACAAAAAAATATTGTCTACTCAGACTGGCAGCAGCTCTCCAGGGTCTAAGGCGGAGGTGAGCCTCCAGCATGATCAAGGAAGGGAAGGAACAACTGCCCTTTATATACCATACCATGTATTTAATTCGAAAATAGTTTCACCCTTGAGATAAAAGGTTTTCACCACCTTTGTGGAATGAAGGAGAATATGTAATGCAGGAATGAAACTTTTATTTTGGTCACAGGCATAAAATTTAATACATCACTTGGAACGGCAATATTCTCATATTCGAGCACATCAATTATCAAAAGAAACAGACGTTTGCATTAGAATAGTCTGTGCAAGGACAGGGGATGATCATAGAAAATAATTTATAAAGAGCAGCAGAAGTGACTTTCCCCTTAACATGACAATGTGCTCACCCTGACCCAGCACTGGTAGCTTGCTGACTATGCCAAACATAATGAGGAAGAGGAAAAGTGGAGGAGTTTTGTTTGGTGGAGGGGAGCCTGTGAATTTATATCCTAACGGTAATCACTTCCCTTAGAGCGAAACTAGATTATATTTTTTTAACAAGTCAGGTCTGGGTTCCCCTGGCTTGGCTTGCTTTCCTGACTCGTATGCAGCTCTGAAATGGGGCAAATAATACCTCCCCCTGGCTGTTTGGGGTAGGAAATTGGCACAGGGGGAAGGCTGAGACCTCTTCCCCCTCCCTGCCACATTCCTGATCTGAATCAAGCCCCTGCAGTGCTTTAGAAATTCATTCCTACTGCTGTGTGTGGCAGGAGGGAAAGCAAGTAGGGTCTGGAGAATCTGGACCCAATTCATTAAAAATATATATAATCTAGATTAGCCCCTCGAGTGCATTGTCCAAGAGTCATTCCATATCTTTGCTCATTTGGAACTGCCTGTCGCTGAATCAGATCTTTGACCTCTTTATCCCAGTTTTTTTTCCTGCATTAACTAGTAGAAACTCTCCAAAGTCTGTGACAGATATTCTTCCCCAGTTATACTGAGAGCCTTCTAACTAGAGATGCTGGGAATTGATCCTGATCCCATCTGCGTGCAAAGCCTATTTTCTACCATTGAGCTATGTTCTCTTGTCTTTATTGCAACAGAGCTAGTTGCTCCGGTGGACGGTCATTTTGGCTTTTCCTAGGAGTTTTGTGTGAAATACTGTAGAAATCTAGAAGCCCAGAGGCTATGGCAAGACAGGAGGGGGAATGAATGCACCATGAGCAATTATTGCTCTCTGATATTAACCCCAACTCTATAATCTATACACATCCCAGAGCTCTAAATGACCATGGTCCAAAGCTCTGCAGGGCACTAATAGAGCTTTGCACAAATAAGGTCTGCCCTACTTCCTTTAATATTAGGTTGGGCTCTGCACATTCTTACCCATTGCTGAAGTGCATGGAGAAACCCTGGTGGTTGCAGAGCTATCAGTGCCCCTCGGATCCTTCATGTACCCTGGAGTTCCTTATTCAAAGTTTAACAGCTGCAATCTAGCAGAGCCATTGATACCCAACTACTTCCATTTCCACCCCGTTGTTTGTCTTAAATAAAAAGTTCTTGTGAAAAAACACATTTGAAGCAGAGAGACAGCAGGGGAGAGTGTTTAACCCCTTTTCTCCCCCCCCCCCTTTTGGTGCTCCAGATTGCTCCTCAAGTGGCCAGGGGCAGATTTTCTTAACCAAAAAAGTGGTCTCTTACACCTTTGCCCATAGTGCATCATTGGCTTGTAATATGTGTATCCAATCAAATACATTTTGTATGAAACAGCCTGTGGACGGGTGATGTTTCTGGTGTTTCTTCTGCAGGGTGTTTTCTTCTCAGTCATCTTGTTTTCTGCTCTTCTCCACTGCAGGAATCACCCAGGAGAAAATCAATGAGATGCGGGCAGCTCCAGAGCAGGCAATGATCAATGATATCACAGAGCTGATAGCAACAGGGCAAGATCTGAACGCAACTGATGGACAAGGTGCTACACTGGTGAGAAAGATTCCCATGGCATTTCTACAGCTCACATCCCTGGAATGTAATTTGACCCGCAAAGCTTCAAGATTTCCTTTCCTCTGTGACATGAAATAGGCAACTGCTTTGTAAGACGGTGGAATGTTTCCCAGGGGCACTCACATTTCTTTTGTCCCACTGTGCACTTTGGCATTGGTTTTGAAACAGCCCCCCCCCCCAATTCTATCAAATGTATTTCCCAGAAGTGAAAAGTAGTATGGAAAGTAGACACTATGAGCAATAGTCTTTCTTTCAAAGTAGGGGATGTATTAATATAGGCTCAAGTTTACCAGAGTGTTTCTTCAGAGGTAAGCATTTCTGTCTGCAGAGTGCAAATTTTTAGCCTTCCTTCTCTGGCTGCTGTGGAAAATGCTCCTTCTGGTGATTGGGTACCCAAGGAGTAGCATTTTGGGCTGCAGTGGGAGTGGGGAGGTCAGAAACTTCAGCTTCACCAAAGGAAGCCCTCCTGTCCACAGAAATGCTCCAGTCCATTGAAGCCAGAAACCTTTTTTCTTGTTTTCATATGTTGCAGTTGTGAGCCTTTTTATTCCTTCCATTTCCTGCTTTGCCTGTTTCTTGTGTGTGATTTTTGTATCCTCTGTCCACCAGAATATTTATTTTTTTAATAACATTTTATTAATAAATGCAAAGAAAAGTAGCAATTAACAAAACAGGTAAGTTGGAGTATACAGGAAAAGAGTGCTAGAGTTGCCAAAAAGAGTATTACATTTTCAAAGTTACAGTATCAGGTTACATTTTTCAGATCAATGAGACATTCACATCTTACCATAGGTTTAAGTCATTAACTGTAGTAGGGATTTCACCCTGATCCATTAAATAATTCACTATAGGGAACCAAATCATAGCATGATCTAAAGAAGATTTGTATACATCTCTTCCATCTACATTTTCTGTTATTTTCGACATTATATAGACCAGAATATTTAAATGCATAAATTTAACTGGAGAAATCTAATGCAAGAAGATAAAATGATATGAATGGTAGGGCTTTGAAATTTGGTAACAGCCCTATTTCAATCCTCCAGCTCAGGGGGAGGGGGGGATCATGTCTCCTGCCCAAGTATGGTATTTGGAAATTGCCATTAAATAATTTTGTAAATATACCCATAACTCAGCATCCTCCATTAGGTATTGAGTGGCAGAGACACTTGAGCACCCATCTTGATCGCCAGTGGCAAGCTGGGAACTGATCATTCAATGAGCCTATAAAATATATCCAAACAAATTCTGGTATGTTTGTTTTGTGTGATCACACTGTCTTCTCAACATGTTGGAAAAGACAGAGCCAGTTGTTAACCTCCATCTGAACTGCTTGCTACAAGAACTTATTTTAAACATTGTATTACTTACATTGCATTATTTCTACCAGTAAGTAAGTAATATTCTTGGTGCCATGGCTTAATGCCATTAATCATCCCAAACGAAAAGAAAAAAAGAAAAGAAATTATGACAGTTTACTTTCCCAGCAGAAGTAAAGAGAAGAAAAAGTGCTATTCAGTCACATAGGTTTTTTAAAAAAATGTTTGTTTTAATTGAGACTGTTTAGATATTTCTCTGTGCCTGCAGAGTCGGCTTCTTATGATCATTAATCTGCTCCCCTCCTTCTTTACTGAAGTCAGCAGAAGTATATTTCCATAATTTTTTCCAGTTGGAGCCAGTTAGCTGTTAAACCAACACAACAAAATATTGCTTAATTGTACAAATAGTATTAACAAGTGGAACTGCAGTATCTGAAAGCATAACAACCTGGCCCTGTAGAATAATCAGCTACTTCAGAGGCTCAAAGCTGCTTGACACAGACTTCAGCCATGACCCCTGAGACCATCAAGTCTGGATCTTTTGGTGTGAGAGCCAGTTTGGTGTAGTGGTTAGGATTCCCCACTCCTCCACATGCAGCTGCTGGTGTGACCTTGGGTCAGTCACAAGTTCTCTCAGAGCTGTTCTCTCAAGGGCAGTCCTTGAGAGAGCTCTCTCAGCCCCACCTACCTCACAGTGTGTCTGTTGTGGGAAGGGAAAGGAGATTCCTCTGAGACTCCTTCAGGTAGTGAAGGATGGGGTATAAATCCAATCTTTTCTCTTCTCCTTCATATATCATGGGAGCTGAGCAAAGGAAGTTCACCTCGCAGTTATGTTTGTGTTGAAGTTCACAGCGTATTTATTAAGAACATAAGAAAAGCCTTGCTGGATCAAACCAGAGGTCCATCTAGTCCAGTATACTGTTTCACAGTGAGGCCAACCAGTTGCTTGAGAGGGCCAAACAGCTCATAGAGGCTAAGGCCCTCCCCTGCTGCTGCCTCCCAGCACTGGGATTTGCTGCCTCTGTAGATGGAGGTTCCCTTCAGCTACCATGACCAGTAGCCATTGATGGACCTCTCCTTTATGGATCTGTCCACCCCCACCCCCCTGTTTAAAGCTATTTTTGCTAATGGCCTGAGTTGGATCACTCAGGCTAGCTTGATCTTGTCATGGAAGCTAAGCAGGGTCAGCCCTGGTTAGTATTTGGATGGGAGATCTCCAAGGAATACCAGGGTCGTGACACAGAGGCAGGCATTGGCAAAACCACCTCTGAACATAATGGCCTTCGCTACCTCCCCTGGGAGTGAATTCCACAGTTTAATTACTTTTTAAGTAAAGAAGTACTTCCTTTTATCTGTTCTGTACCTGTTGCTCATCAACTTCATTAGGTGCCCCTGAGTTCTACTGTTACTGAAGTATTAATAAGTAGCCTTGTTACACTCAGGGCACTGGGCTTCTCCCTGGGTGATAGCTTCGTGCAGCTATTTGCTTCTTCTGGCTCAGCTTGTTTACATTTGTTCTGGATGTTTGAGGAGCCATCAGATTAGGTTTCTGGCTAGAGTAGCCTGGAGTGTAAAGATGACAGGTGGGTCATTATGTCTTCATTGTGCTATTCCATGGTAAGTGATAACCCTCTCGCAAAGTATTTGCTGAAATGATTAAAAATACAACCAGATGGACAGTTGCATAAGCACAAGAACTTGTATGATCAGACTCCAGGGCCCCAGTCTGTGCCTGGATGCCAGAACCAGCTTCCTGACCCACAAGTGCAGCCATCAGTGTTTCTGCTGTACTGGTTACTTCCTTATTATTTTGATTGCTTTGTTATGTATGGTTCCCATCCTTTCCTCTAAAAGTCCAGGATGGCTTTCATAGGTTGATTTGGATTGTAAAGTACTTGAAGGACTGCCTTCTCCCACACTATCCAGGCTACCAGTTAAGGTCCTTTCCCCAAGCTCTGTTCTGTACCTCCACCTGCAGAGGTGAGATGGGGAGTGACCAGAGACAGGACTTCTTTGGTAGTGGCACCTCTCTCCTTTGGAAAATCTTCCCTCTGGAGGCTTGCCTGGTGCCTGCTTTACTGTCCTTTAGGCATCAAGTCAAAACATGTCTTTTTAACAGGAAGAAAATCAGAGAAATTTTTTTGTGTGTGCATGGTTCACAGACCCCCCTCCCGAAGCCTGTCCGTGGACTTCCCTAAGGGTCCATATTTGGGTAACACGTGGACCCCAGGTTAAGAACCCCTACTGTAGGAAGTTATGAGCCTGATATGAGGCAATGTTTAGAAGAATAGTACATGGTATATATTTTGAATCAGGAATGCAGCTGGGTTTTTTTTTTTTTTTGAGCTTCCGGTTTATGGTGACACGCAGGCAGTCACATCTCCCGGACGTCCCGGGGATGTAAACTGCACACCAGTGTGTGGGGGGGGGTCCGACGGGTCGTGCCCCCCCTGGAGCCTTGGTAAAAGGCCCCCAGCCAGGGGGCTTTTGAGGGGTGACCTCTTCGATGGCCAAAAGCCGGAGAATTGAGGCACCCCTCCGCCCTGAAGTTCCTGCCGCTGAGTGACTGCATGGTACGAGTGCTGTTGACCGGGACAAGAGTTGGAGATCGGACGAAATAAATTATGATGAGCGAGGCCGAATGGCCAACAACGAACTGTGAGTTGAGTTGAGTTGAAGTGAGCATGAAGATATAAAAAGAAGCTCCCCCCCCCCCCCCGAGCGACGGGAAAGCGAGCGGGGGAGGGATTCCTCCCAAACGCATAGACAAAACACGGAAGGAAAGAGGGGGGAGCAGAAAAATAAGCAACTAAAACTGTTATAAGAGACTTACCAGAGCGCAGGAAAGCATTTGGGCGAATATCAGAAACTTTACCAACTGCTTTGAAAAGTAAACAAATTCAAAAAGGTGGCGGGGAAGAAACCAGAGAAAGAGAAGCTGTTGAAATCGAAATTAGGGGCCAGTCCTCGAACAGATGAGGTCACTGAGCTCTCAAAACTCTTAGCTGATTCCCTGCGCCCCCTGCTGGACGAGATCACTGGTATTAAACAACAACTGTCAGTAATTGGGCAGAGTGTGGCAACTCAGGAGATGCAACTGACTCAATCCTTAAAAGCAACAGAGCAAATGGGAGAGAAGGTGAAGGAAATGGACGTCACTACTAAAAAAGTTAAGAAAAAGGTGCAAAAGCTGGAAATGAAGCAAGCTACAGAAGAGTCAAAGCTTTTACAGCTACAAATGGATAAAGCAAATTTGGTCCTACGGTTTCAAGGGATCCGGGAAATTGAAGGAGAGAATCTGAAGCAACAGCTGAGTGAAGCAATACCCCAATGACATATTTAACAGCGGAATACCTTTGCAGCGCGATGGATGTGGTCTACAGGTTCTATTCATCGTACATCAAGAAAAATAATCTGCCTGGGGAAATAGTGGTCAGATTCTCAAAGAGACATGTGAGAGATGCTATTTTGAAAGCAAATTCGGGAACACCCTTGAAAATTGGGGGCAATAATATCAGGATTTTAAAAGACATTCCATTTGATATAAGACAGAAGAGAAAGAACTACAAAGAATTAATCCTTTTCTTACAAACAAATGGCATCAGTTACAGGTGGTTAACCCCAGAAGACGTCATTTTCAAGATTAACGATAAAAAAGAAAAGATTGACTCTGTTTTTAAAGCATGTGAATTTCTGCGGACACAGCTTGGGGAACCAGAAGAGGGCAAAGAGGAGGAAAAAGAAAGCAAACCTGATGGCGAGTTGGGCTCGGGGTCTTTGGATGAGGACTCCCCTTCGGAAAAGGGGGTGGCTGCCCCCAAAAGCACTTATAAACTGAGGATTAGAAAATATAAGAATAAATAAGGGTTGAAGGACTCTGAGTTGTGCCTGAAAAAATGTTGAAATAACTTGGGGATGCTCTGGGAATTTCTTTAAACAAAGGGATAGTTAAACGATAATTAATCTAGCATAACCGACTAAGTTCATTGTATTATTAGTAGCTTTTTGAAAATAGCATGGTGTTAAGCTGATGTATGATCGCCTACTCTTGGGTTTTTAGTCAGTTGTGGGTCTTTTTTCTTTATTCCCTAGATGTAGTTCCCTTTCCTATATTTTCTGTTGTAGTTTTGTAATCTGAAAAAAACCCCAATAAAAACCTCCCCCTAGGGGGATGGGGGAAAAAGGAATGCAGCTGTTTTTAATATCAGTTTTGCTTGTTTTCAGCTGCTGTTATGTTTCTTAAGAGTACTTGATGGTTCTAATTGAACACACATGAGGTTGGATACAGCACATTTTTCTACTGGGGGAAAAGGGTGAGGGGGTTCCTTTGACCATCAAAAAGTTTACATTGGGATCATGGGACCTGCATGGATAAAACCCATGTGAGGTAGAGGCTATAGTAAGGGGAGGAATTCAGGGAGACTGAGTAAAAGAAAGCTGGCTGGATCCACTGTAGGTTGCTGCAGTTCATTAGAGAGAAAAGGCCAAGTGCTGATCAGTTTCCCCATGTAATGGTGTCTTCTGCTGTGACAAAATCCCATTGTATAACACCAGTGGTTTGTAATGGTATGGATGACAAATTTCTAATCTGGAGAACACTCCATCAGAACGGAAGAGACTGTTGCATAGCCGTTTCTTAATCGTAGGGAGCCCCCTATTGCTTCATTAGGGAATGGTTTCTGCCTTCACATCTATCCATGAAGGTCTCAATAGTGGGATGTAGCTGGAGTGAAAAAGTTTTGGTCATTGGTATTACAAATGTAGAAAGTGTGAGAAAGTCAGCAAGGAGCAACAAAGGTGCACCACCATTTATGGGCCCAGCAGGAAGCAACAGAGATTTATTTGGGAGCACTGTTATTAGGAGCATGAAGCATACAGTGTGGTGTTGGTTGGTTCCATTCTGGGCTTTGGATCAGAATCAGGTCAATCCAAGTTTAGAAAACCATCTGAACAATCAATAGTCTTGTTGCTATTCAAGCAGGATTGATGCTAGAAAATTAGAGTAAACATGCACATAAGCACATATGTTGAACTTTGAACAAATCTGTCCTGATCTGGATAGCCCAGGCTAGCTTGATCTCATCAGATCTTGGAAGATAAGCAAGGTTGACCTTGTTAGTATTTGGATGGGAGACCACCAAGGAAGTCCAGGGTTGCTGTGCAGAGCCAGGCGATGGCAAACCACCTCTGAACATCTCTTGCCTTGCAAAGCAGGGCTCAGGGCGGCTGTTTTAATTCGACAGACTCTGCTGGCCACTTCTTAAATTGCTTACTGCACTTTACCAGTGGCTTTCAAACTTTTTAGTAAAGGGATCTACCTTGTTTGAGATGCAAGAGATCCCATTCCCTGATGTATGAAATTATGGATAAACCCCAAGAAAAATATCTATCCTCTCTTGGAAAGTACAGTACCTGGCATCTGCTCTTCCTTCTGAACTGGAAGATGCAGATGCGTGTGTATGTACAGAGGATACTGCTTCGCTGTCACTCACATAGATGTTCTCCCCCACAGACTTAAAGAGACAAACAGCTCCTTTTCACTTCTCATCCCCCCCCCATGTGTACAAAGGCCACTCTGGGTTCTGGATTCTTATTGCAGCAGCCCATCGTAACTCAGCAGCCAAGGGTTAGGTGCCTGCACCTCAGAGGGATGAAAACATATGGATCCGGGAGAAATGAGTTTTTTCCCAGCCCAACCTGGCTGCAGACAGCAGTCCATCTTCATAAATGTCAGTCCTTCCTCTTCCTAGATTAAAAGTATTGTCCAACTCTCATCTGTGACAGGGTCCAAATCATTATTTGGTAATCACAAAGCATTCAACGGTTATGTAAGGTGGATATTAAAATAGATGGAGATCTATTATTTATGGGCATACTGGGAAACTATAATATTGAGAGACAAAATCAGGATGTTTTTAAAGCAATGTTACTAGCAGCGCATGCTGTGATTGCATATGGTTGGAAGGAGAGTTTGAAGTGGTCTTTAGATAGATGGAATGACTATTTATACGAATATATCCAGTCAGATATATTGGAATGTATTAAACAAGATAAGGCATGGGATGGAAAGATGAAGGAGATAAAAAAGAAATGGTCTATATACTTTCAATGGGTAAATAATGGAGAAGCCAATTCCGTTATACTTGAAAAAATGGAAAAAATGTGCTCATGGTTAAAAATTTAATTTGTAGCTATGTGATGGCCACCTTGTGGGGGGTGGGATATAAAAGGGGGAAAATGTATCATAAGAGAATTGGGATTGTATTGCAATGTAATAATAATTTATGATGCAAAAAAAAATCACAAAGCATTCAACGTTAAATGAGATACCATTTAAAAGCCACCACTATATTTTCTGTCTTGTAATAGTTACACATAGCTTCGGCCAACGGCTACCTTCATGCAGCTGAGATTCTTCTAGACCATGGAGCAAGGCTGGACCTCCAGGACTGGGATGGCTGGGAACCCCTCCATGCTGCTGCCTTCTGGGGACATGTATGTGTTTTCTCGCAAGCCATTTGCATACCCCCTTGCCCCCCCACCCACCCGGTTTGTGGAAACAGCTGAGAATGTTGGCTTGTTTTCTACATTCTAGATGCAGATGGCTGAGTTGTTGGTGTCCCATGGTGCAAGTTTGAGTGCCCGGACAGCCATGGATGAGATGCCAATAGGTGAGCGGTCCCCTTTTCTCATTTCTAAACTTGGACAAATCAATGAGGCGCTCTTAGACAGCACATTTAGAGTTCAGTATATCTTGTTTCCTTTTATCCTATTTCTGGTTTTGAAGTGATTGTTTGTTCTCTTAGGTGTGGGGTGATGGTTAGAGTGTTGAACTAGGATCTGGAAGACACAGGTTCAGATCCCAGCTCTGTTGTGGAAGCTCACTGGGTAGCCTTGGGCCAGTCACAACACTGAGTCTAAGCCAGTTCACAGGGTTGTTGTTGTTGTGAGGATAAAATGGAGGGAGAGTGATGTTGTATGCTGCTTCAGGACCCCATTGAGAAGAGACGGACAAATGGAGTGTAAATATCCAAGTAAATAAGTTAAATTGGGCCAGTTGGGGGACCGATAATCCGATCCGCACCTATGTAATTGACCTTCAAAAAGCAACAGAGGCGGAGGGGGACTGATATGGATTGGAACTGTGGTGCTAAGGAAGGGTGGGCGGGTTAAGTTTTTGACCTCATGTTGTTTCCCCTGGCTGTTTGAGGCCCTTGTAGGAGGGAAAAAAGGCACTTCACCCCTATCCAGGGTTATTTTTTAGAGAGTCAATTAAATTGGCCACCAATCTCCAGCATTACATAAAGGTTAGCCCTTACCTTCTCTTGACCTGGTGTCTTCAAGACATCCTGAATGTCAAGCTGTGCTTTTGTTATTTCATGGGCCTTTTGCATTGCTGATCTCCCAATAGTGGTCAGATTAATCCATGTGATTCTAAATGGAGTGTGAGAAAAAGGCCTGAGTGATGCAAAGACACTTCCCAGGGAAGCTGTTCACGTTAATGATTCAGCACACCTCATATTTGGGGGGGGGGGGTTTGTCTTCTTTTAGACCTCTGTGAAGAAGAGGAGTTTAAAGTCCTGCTTTTGGAACTGAAGCATAAGCATGACGTCATCATGAAATCTCAGATGAGACACAAATCCTCTTTGAGCAGGAGGTCATCCAGCACTGGAAGCAGAGGGTGAGTAGCAGAAGTGTTGTCATATTTGCAGGATTTACATTTGTCTGGCAAGGCCAAGCTTTATAGCCTGAGTGTTAGTGAGCTTTCTAACTGGCTGCACTTCACTAAGCAGGAATACAGCGTTTTCTTGGCATTACCACTGCGTACAAGTAAGCCCTATGCTGAGGGCCTAACTACACGCTACATTTTACACTCGTTCTCTACAGGGACTTTTAGTCAGACATCAGCTGTGATTTCTCCAAAGAGAACTCAATTCTCATTTGAATTGTGGCAGGCAGAGAGATATGGGCTCCTGGCTTCCTCCCTGCTCCATTTTCCTGAACCAAAAAGGTCAAGGGAGTGCTGTTTGCACCCTTGGTGGCTCCACATTCTGCTCATCAGTATACATGCACACACCCCTGCCCCCGAGATAAACAGCATCCTTCTCAGCACACACCATAGTCCCAATCCAGATCAGGGCCAAACAGGTTTGAGAACTGAGTTCCCAGAGGGTAACTTCCAGCTGGCATCTAACTAAAAGTCCCCCTAGAGGCAAGCATAAAAGTACCACATAGTTAGACCCTTAAAAACAAGTTTAACAGTCTCATAAAAGCCAGTGTAATGGGCAAATATATTCACCTGTAAATTAAAGTTATTCCTAAGAGACGTTTCCCCCCCCTCCTCCATTAACATCAGGGCATCTCATCTGAGGACTTGGTCTGTAACCCCAAGCTCTGTGGGTTGCTGCCTAAAGAACAACCACCCGTGAAAAGCTATGTGGGTCTGGGATAGTGGGAAAGATTATCTGGTACTAGAGATTCTGCAGGGCAACATCTCAAGCAGTTTGCTTAAGAGGCTGTGGGACCAAAATGCTTCTTAATAATAACACAGCACTCTTATGGTACATGATACTTGCAAAGCCACATAGTTTAAAGGATTAGGGCCTGCTCCAAAAAGTTTTCAATGTAAATTTCAGCAGTGTATTGTTGAAAGAGAATAAAGACAGAAAAGAGAGGAATGAAGGGTAACAAGGGAGGAGTATAAATCATCCCTGGTGAATTCCCATCCCCATCATAGCATTTATGCATTTTTATTGTTTGAAAAAAGATTTGTGTTTCTCAAGAGTTCTCAATTGGATCACAAATATGTGACTGTCCATTGTTGCACAGCCTTTTGGGAACTCTGGTAATGCGAATGTGGATCCCCTTCTGGAGGAGGAAGCAGTAGCAGCTGAGCAGAGGAAATGTGTATTATAATCAGACTTTGGCATGGTGTGTGTATTGGGGGGGGGGGGGGTTCTGAGGATTAAAGAGTTACCGTATGCATCTCATCCTGTTCTGGATCTTTACAGGCTGTTCAGAGCAGCATCAGTTTATCAGAACTGAATGAGAGCCATCTAGTGGCCACATATGGTTATCAAAATTGATACTTTAGTATGAGTCTTAAAAGGTAAAGGTAAAGGTTCCCTTGCTCGAAAGCCAGTCGAATCCGACTCTAGGGTTGCGGTGCTCATCTCCGTTTCAAAGCCGAAGAGCCAGCGCTGTCCGAAGACGTTTCCGTGGTCATGTGGCCGGCATGACTAAACACCAAGGTGCACGGAACGCTGTTACCTTCCCACTAAAGTGGTACCTATTTATCTACTTGCAATTTCTTGCTTTCGAACTGCTAGGTTGGCAGGAGCTGGAACTAGAGACGGGAGCTCACTCCGTCATGCAGCACCTGGGTCTTGAACTGCTGAACTATTGACCTTCCACAGCCTGCAGTTCAGCGTCTTAACCACTTGAGCCACCGCAGTCTTAGGGCAGTGTTATTTTAGAAATGTATAATGTGTAGAAACATTACAGCCATTTTGCATGTTTGTCTACTTATAATACGTTATGCAAACATTTGTATGAATATGCACATATATTGTGTGTGATAATCAAGTTTCAGGAAACATTTTGTGGGAACATAAACCATACAAACTGATTTCATCTATGCCATTTAAAGTGCTGCTGAGCCTCTCCCCCCACTGTTGGTATACATTGCCGAAAAAGAGAAATGGAGTTTCATATGCATTTCAAACTGATCTGAAGAGAAAGGTGGGCTTATATTCACATTCTTCTGGGTTTTGTACCTCCTATGAACAGATTCCTTCAATCTAAAGTTCAATTTTAGTTCCCCGTTAACAATTTTTTCTACTGAATTTTACACATTTAAGTTTTTTGTCCCCATTTTACCTCTTCTCTGTATTGGTGCCCAGGAGAGTGTAGCCTCTATTTCCCTCTCTCCTAGTGCCACAATTTTCCAGTTTTTAAAATACACCTGTTAATAATGATTAACAGGTGTATTTTAAAAACTGGAAAATTGTGGCACTAGGAGAGAGGGAAATAGAGGCTACACTCTCCTGGGAGTAAGCCCGGTGACAGGCCTTTTCAACTGAGGGGGACCCACAAAACCTCTCATGATTTAGGGGGATCAGGTTTGCTTTAAACTGTAAACCTTCCTCTCAGTTACCAGGTGTTCTTAAGGCAGCAGGTGTCTAGGCTTTGGGTTCTCTGCTGTGAGAATATGGAGATCACTGCAGCAGGATTTTTATATAAGCAACAAAGATTTATTTATTTACAGACCAGTTTCAAGGAACAGTTCGGCAACACAGGACTCCAGATAGAGGAGAAACTTGGCCGAGACACAGAAATTTAAGCTGATTATGGCTTTAGTGTGAGAGACGGTTTGGGTGAGGTTGGGGAAGTGACCTTAGCAGGATATAATGCCATACAATCTACCCTCCAATGCAGCTATTTTCTCCAAGGGAACTGATCTCGTCAGACTCTTGAACAAACTTACTCCTAACAACACTCTCTTGGCAGTGATTTGTTTACTGAGAGATAAACATGTTTCAAGCTAAGTCGATGTGTGTCAGAACTGACCCTCTTGGCACCAGTTCTGGTATTATACATAGTTCAAACAGCCCCCCTTCCCCCAGTGACCAGTCCAATCACACCAATGCATCCAGCCTGCCAAAGTCTACTGTGCACCGTTAACCCTCCCCCAGCACCTGCAAGCTTAGTATCTAGCAGTGTCCAAGGTCAAGCACGCATTCTTCCCAGAGATGGGAGGCCCCGCATAAATGCAGTTACGAGCTAGTGGGACTTCCAGCAAAGCCGCTTCACTCTCTCTCTCTCTCTCACACACTCACATGCTCTCAAACCGGAAGAAAACAGGACAAGAGGCATATAAAACCATGGCAAACAAGGCCCGAGTTTTGACATCTGGAGAGCAGTTGTAATTCTGAGTGATCTCCAGCCCTCACCTTGAGGTTGGCAACCCTGGAGGAAATGGCTGCTTTGGAGGATGGAGTCTATGGCATTATACACCTCTGAGGTCCCTCCCTCCTCAAACCCCACCCTCCTCAGACTCTGCAACAATCAGGCTCCAACCCCTCAATCTCTAGGAATTTCCTAACCTGGAGTTGGCAAACCTATCTCCTTCCCACCCAACATCAAAACTACCTTTATCTACCCATCTAGTCTTAAGCTGTCCCTTCCCCCTGACAGCCTCTACCTAGGAAAACTATGGCCCAGTTGTGTGGTGCCAGCCACTGGGCCAGGCCTATTTGCATGTTAGGGAACCTTCAAGAACTTGTGGAGGGAATGCCTCAACTTCCCCTGTATCCCCCCCTTCCACCTCCCAGAACCTACTCTGAAGCTCTAACCGCTGCACCACACTGACTTTCATAGGGTGGCTGCTGTTGAACAGTAGGAATCAGCCAGGCCCAGCTGAGTCATGCAAGCTGGGTGGTTGCTGACAGACCTAAGGTTGCCACTCTCCAGACAGGACCTGGAGAGCTCCCAGAATTACAACTGAACTTCAGACAACAGAGATCTGTCCCCCTAGAGAAAATGGCTGGTTTGAAAGGTAGACTGTATGGCATTATATCCGGCTGAGGCTTCTCAATCCCCAAAACCTACCCTCCACAGACTCCAGCCCCAAATCTCCAGGAACTTGCTAGTCTGGAACTGGCTAGTCTGGAACTGGCTAGTCAGGCCTGGCCTTAATAAGTCCTCTCTCAAAGGGCAAAATAGGCCTAGAAAGAGTCCTGCCTCCTCACCCTACCTTTAACTCAGAGAAACCTAGTTTGGAATCCCATGGTTACCTAGCAATAGCCACTGAGGAAATCCATTGCTTAAAGCTACAGGCACTCCTTTTATATCATTTTCGGCTTTTTAAAATTCCCCAACTTTTTTTTTTAGATATCACATTTTCCTGCAAACCCTTTTCAGATTTGTAGAAAGATCTGTCTTGCCTGTTCACAGCTCCAGTCACTGGATTTAAGGATCTAAAGATTGTCCAACTTCACCATTAGAATATAAGATTTGAATTTTTCTGACTAGCCACTAGGTTGGATCCTCTCACACAAACAGGACTGACCTTTCCTAAGAGTCAGACAAAATGGTACAAGGTCTGCTCATTACCAGAGACAGGCCTAACAATCTTTTCTCTCTCAGAGGTAGAGTTAAACCACTCTGCCATGCTACCAGGCAGAGCTACCTTCCAACTGTCTGCTCCATTAGACTCAGAACTATATCACTGCACTCCCCTGATGCAGATCTGGACTCTCAACTGCTCTGTTTCCCTCCAACGTTTTTCTCCCCCATCTGAAAGGTGATTGGATGCTGGAGCAGCACTTCTATAGGCTCATCTGAGTGGCTGTTTCCCCTCAGGGACAGTGCAGCCTCCTGCCCATCACAGCCCCAGGCTTACTTCTGAGTTGAATTAAGTAGACCTGCTTAGGATTGCACCCAAAATCTTAAGCAAAGGAAAAAGGGAACACAGTAGAACCCCTTCATCCTACTCTTCCGGTGTTGGATTTACTTTCCAAAATTCTGTGTTCCCTCATACATGTATTCACTGGAATGAAACCATAATACATTTGGACATATGGAATTTTTGAGTGTTTCAGTTTCTCTGTCATTCAGTTTCTCTGCCATCAAGGTTTCATCTTGATGTCTAGAAACATCTTTATTAAATAAAAGAAAGATTTTGAGGGGTATAACAAGAGCAGCAGATAAGCCTAGTCTTGGGCAGGTAGTCTTGGGCAGGTAGCCTTCCAGTCTTCAGAAAAGCTTTGTTTGAATGGTCCTACAAAGCTTCCTATTACTGTCATGATAATTGTAAATCCAGATGACTACTTTTCTTATTTATTAACAAGAACTGAAATTGGGGAGGTGGGATTATATTAATAAAGCAATGATTATGAATCCCCTTAAAATATACTGCAGTGTTCACCTTTCTGAAGGGAGAGAACCTGTACAAGAATAGCTGTCCAATTTTAATAAGACAGCTCCTCTCTTCTGTTTTGGACATCTCTTCAGGAAAGTTGTTCGGAGGGCAAGCCTTTCTGACCGAACAAACCTTTACAGAAAAGAGTATGAGAAGGAGGCCATCGTCTGGCAGCAAATAGAATCTTCCGAAGAGCAAGGAACTTCTGGGTACAGTAGTGACATCAGGGAATTTTGCTCCAATCAAGAGAACACAGATCCGGTAAGAGACAAAGTTATAATGACCTCACCACCCATTATAAATAAGCCATTTCCATTCAGGAATTGTAGAATCCCTACGGAGGCTGTTTGTATTGTACCCTCCAAACTAGAGTAGAAAGTCCATTGTCTCAAATTCCAACGGGTGACCAGATATAGCCGGACATCAATCTATTGTTCGATCACTCTAATGTTGTAGCTCTCCCCCTCCCGGGCCATTTGGATACATTTTGTTAAAAACGAAAAAGTACTGTATTTACTTAAAAGGAAGGCTAGATTCCCCCCCCCCCCCAGGGGGGTTTTCAACAAAAAAGAGGGGGTTGTCTTACTTTTGCATACAAGTAGAATACTTTATAAAAAAACCCTTTGGGGAGTCATATTATATTCAGGGTTTTCTTTGTTTCAGGGAAATTTCAATTGATAAGGCTGTTCTGTGTAAGCCGTTGGCTATTTAAGAGTATCTTTGCAATCCAGAAAAGCAAAGGCCACAGTTAAGTTATCAGAGTGGGGCGTGTGTGGCATGTGAGGCTTATACTGTGATGCATGAGAAGCAGGAAACATGGACACGAAATTTCAATCAAATAATGGATGGGTAGCCATGGCTTGACATCTTATATCCCTTTGCCATTTCAGAACTCTACAATCGATACACCCACCCTGCTTCCCGAATTGGCATCCAAAAGCACGCAATGTGACTCAGAAACTCTGCTCCAAAACGGGTTGAGCTTATCCTCGGCCACTTACCAATATTCTATCCCCAATGGAGATGTTTGGAAAATGCATTCTGCTATAGACAACGATGCTAGCCAAGGACTGCCCTATGATACCCCAGGGGTCCCAGATGTTCATCAGATCTGGGGGGGCTACAAAGAGAGGAGCCACCAAACCCTCTCTGAGCTGAAACGGCAGAGAGCTGCAGCCAAGCTTCTCAACCACCCTTTCATCAGTACGCACTTTGGCAGCAACACGGGGGGCACAACGGAAAATGGGGGAGAAGCTAAAGAGCACTTGATCGGTTCCAGGACTCCTTCGTACACAGCCAATGGGACCTCAGTTTATTACACAGTGTCGAGCGGCGATCCGCCTCTCTTAAAATTTAAAGCTCCCATGGAAGAAATGGAGGAGAAGGTGCACGGGTGCTGCCGGATTTCCTGATCTAAGTTCATTCCTAACGGGAAGAGATGCACCAAGTTGGGCGGGGCATGTTCATCACTTGAGTCTGGGCTGTTGCTAACCACTGCTAAATGGGAGAATCTGGATGAGTCATCTGAAGCTCAGCTAGGTTTTATTCATCATTAGTACCTTACTTTGCTTTAGCAGTTCCATTTTTAAAAAATCAAGCAACTGTATGCAGCAAAGTGGAGTCCAGGAGGGGAGGCAAGTCCTTATTGTACGTGCTAGGCGACCAGAGTAAAAAACATTCTAAGCACATTTCATTTCAAATCCCATCCCTGCTTTCTGACCTTCCTGGGCCACCGTTTGGAGACAAACCCTCCCACGTCAACTCATCCTTGGTGTACCATTACCCAAGGTGCATAATCCAAACCCAGCACTTTTTAACAAGCAAACTTAGTTGACTGCTTTGCTTTTGCACACAGAAGACATATGCACTTTAATATGACCAGCCCGAACATTTCACTTTTTAGGTGATAACACATTCGGGACATCATCCATCCCACTGCCAATTTATAAGCCATCACTTCCTCATGCAATCTTTGTATAAAACAAAGAGAGCAGCAGAGGTCATCTGCAAGTTACACCCCTTTCATAGGTGGGTCAAATGTTGTGAGGTCCTTAGAAGACCAATATGACTAAAAACAAAAAAGGCTATTGTTCATGTGCAATCTTTTCTGTTCCATACAAGTAGCCTGGTCAATACCAGTTTAAATTTGTCATTTGGCTATTCCTCGGACTGCTACAGGGGAAGGGATATAAGGGAAGGAAAAGCTGTACTTCCATGCATCTAAACATTATTTCTTACCACACTGACTTTTTGTAATATCATTTGAGTTAGCCTATGATACGATATTTATTTGAAATGGCTCTCAAACATTAAAGTCAGTGGCCAGTTTGTTTGGCTAAACAACCCCGTATTCTACTGTGATCTTCATACCAGTTTCTGATGTTTTCCAGTTTCTACTTTTCTCAGCTATTTTCTTCTCTGGCCACTAATGGTAATCTGTTGGCCTTTAGGTTTGGAAATGCTAAACTTTTCTAACCTCAAAAAGGTAGAACTGCATTTTATTAATGAAGCAGGGCTGCTACCCCAAATAGCATCTCTGCATCAAGTCCCTGTGTTGCGATAACATGGCTTGTGCCTCTCATTGAAATCAGCAGCTGTCATAGACAGGGATGGGGAAACACCCCCCAGTCATGATGTCACAACGTGGTACAACTGTGTTTTACAGAGGGGAACCTGATTAAAGGCGGCCTTATATCTTTTATAGTATCCAATTCTGCCCAAGCCCAACAGCTCTTCCCTTAGAGAAGAAAAAAAAATTACCTAGCAAGTAAGTTTTCAAATACATTGATTACACAATTTCCAAGGGCTAGAAGCAAACCATGAAATCTCAGAGAAGCTGTACAGGGGAGCCTTTCCCACATTACATTTTGAGCAGATATAGAATACTGACGGCTGCCACCTGGCACATATCTATTAAGACTAACTTTTAAAGCAGGACTTAAAAGCCACACATGCACTTGAACACACAAGGAAACAAAATGTGTAGCCACGTGCATTATAATATTATCAGGTATATGCGACAAATCTGTATTGCGTACCTGTTACAACTGAATGTCTGAAGCATTACTGAGTGTTTAGCAAAGTAGATGGGACTTGGTGAAGGGGTATATTAGCACGGCTGCCTTGGCCGTGGGCATCTCTTTTCTCATTTAGGTGATCTACAGAGAAAAGTGCCTCTAAATCAAAGCATAAACTCTAATGGTTACAAGAACATGGATTCGGGAGCTGAGAAAAGGCTATGATGCAATATTCAGTTTGTTCTCCACTGATAAAACTGCGTGCACAATGGTCCCAAGTGCGTTCAGTTCTTTTCCAGATTTGGACAAAGGTAGCACATAAAATGTAGAAACAATAAGGTGGGCATGTCTTCTGATAAAATCGTCTTCTTTTGACTGAACTGCGCTGACACAGAATTTCTTTGACTGACAAGTTTGGAGATTTGGCTGTTTAGTCATTCTGTTCAATTAAATTCCCGTTTTCATACAGATGTAAAACTTCCTGTGCAATCCTCATCTTCCCATGACCCAAACAACATACAATCACAGGAAGGCTAACAGCCATTTTTCTCTGTTCAGTTGAGGTGTGGAAATGGGGATCATGTCTGTTGCTGCTGCTGCTCCCAAGCCTGCATGTGTTCATCTGAAGAGAGGTCTGTATACATAGAAGATTTGAGCCAAATTCCTTCTGTGCATCCAGATGAATGTGCAGAGAGCCCTCAGGGAAGCTCACATTGGATGTTACTTCTTCCTGAGCATGTTTCATGCAAAATAGTTATGGAAATGAGGAATGTTTACTACTATTAGCCCCCCAAATTATTATGAATATCTAATGGCAGTAAGTTAGTGACTTATCTACACTGTGTATAGCAAACTTCATATTGGATATGCTGAAATTTATTGCTGCATGCAGTGTGAAGTGCCTCTTAGTGGTACATGCTACAGTTGCAGACCTATGCAAACTTATGGTGCCACCCTAAGCAGTTACACTGTTCTGAGCCACGGATTTCAATGCCCCCGAGGTTTTTTGCCATTCAGTTGCATCCAGCTTATGGTGATCCTGTTAAGTTTTTCAAGGCAAGAGATGCTCAGAGTTGGTTTGCCATTGCCTACCTTTGTGTAGTGGCCCGGGTATTTTTTGGTGGTCTCCAGGGGTCATTTTGTAGAAAAAGAGGTGCAGGAGCTCATTAGCATAATTTATTTGCATATGCCACACCCCCTGACATCACCGGAAGTGTGTCAGAAGGCAACACTCACCGCTCAGGCTCCACTGGACTGTTTTGGAGGGCAAATCTGCCCTCACAGAAGAGTGAGAGCTTGTACCTGAATAAACCTTGGCCTTAAAGGTGCCACTGGATTGTTTTGGATTGCTATCGGGGGGGGGGGGGCTCTGCAACCTACCTGGCTGCTTATTGCTCCTTGTGGCCCGGGGCTGCTGGGAGCAGGGGGCATGGCTTGTTGCATGTGCCCACCCCCTGGGCTCTTTACTGCCGGAGCTCCGCTCCTGTGTGCTCCTGCAGGAAATGACCCCTGGTGGTCTCCCATGCAAATACTAACCAGGGCTGGCACTGTTTAGCTTCTGAGATCTGACGAGATTGGGCTATCCATGTCAGTGACCTTAGAAGGTATAATTCTGCTTAGAATGGCGCTGTTACTTAGGAGTCAGTCCTATGGAACTATGCAGGTCTTAATCCAGAGTAAACACACATGAGATTGGACTGCTGGTTGCTTAATTACTAGCACCTCATCAACGCTTTACTTAGCTTTACTCTTCAACATTTCCCCTTGAACTGAAAGGTCAGCTTTCAAAGTCAATAGTTGTTGTACGGGACAGGTAGATTACAATTTGACTGCAGGATTCTCTTCACACAAATGGGTTTTCCCCCTTTTCTCAAAAGATTTTTTTACCTGTCCTTGAAAAGCAGTTTGGTTTCATCAGAGCACTCTGTGATAAAGGAGGAGGGTGCAGCTAAGCAACATTTCCAAGTCAGTTTTAAGTTTGGTTTCTGCAAGCAATCTGTGTTTCTGCAAAGAACTTTGGGAAATTGCAGTTTTCCCCAGAGCTCTAGCAGCAAGGGGTGGGGCTAACAGGTAACCAGTTTGAGTCATAGGACAGACATAGCCAAAATGCATGCTGCTTGCCATTTGGGGAGAAGTTGTGACTCAGAGGCGGTGCATCTGTTTTGCATGCAGAAGGTCCCAGGTATAATACTTGGCATTTCCAGTTAAAAGGATCAGGTAGTAGGTGAGGTGAAAGACCTCCGCCTGAGTTGTTGCCAGTCAGTGTAGACAGTACTGACCCTGAGAAATCAGTGGTCCAGCTCAGTAGAAATCAGATACATGTGTTCATTTTTATGCTGGTTAAATCCCTACAGGTTCCCTATATTCTTTGTATCAGTGAAATAAGGTATTGTGTCTTGCTGATCAAGTGGTAAGAAAAAGATGATTGGGAAATAAACATTTGGGCTCCCAGGGAGTTTGTAAAGGGTTATGTGATGTTGCTTTACTACCTTCTTGGAATTTGACACAGCACTTTAATATCCTCCCTGTATATTTTGAGCATGCATTCATCATGTCCTCTGCTGCAGTTTTTCAGTTTCCCAAAATGACCAGAGTTTTGCTTCAGGTTGGGTCCTGGTGACTGAAATAACTCAGGTGTGGTAATTTGTAAATGGAACAGTGGTTGCAATTTATGTGTGACTCTAGGCCATCTGTGCCAAGCACAGGTTGACTAAATGCTTCAGCATCCCTGAAAGATGCAGAAAGAAATGAGTCTGTTCATATCATGTTTACCCTTGCCCTCCCACCAAGGAGCTCTGGCTACGTGGTCCCTCTTTCTCATTCTTATCAGTATTCACATGTATGTGTTTATGTGTTGTGTATTTGGGACTGCATGTACCTCCCTGTTTAAATGAGACTGCTAGTGTCCTACTTGTTCTCTATGCATTTTCTATAATACTTTTTTTCCCTTGCATGAGATGGAGGAGACTGACTTGTCTTCAAGAATTTCCTACACGGAGGTAACCTCTGAGTAGCAAAACAAGTATGCATTGCAGTGTCTGAGGGTCAATACAGGCAGTTCATTTCATTGCAGGTATATTGAGCAGCTTCTGGTCATGTGGCCTAGTGTTTCACTCAAAACAACCTTCAGCCCCCCACACTGAACAATGTAGAAACACCCCCCAGTATTTTAAATCCAGCTTTTGCCAACATGTACGTGAAGCATAACCTTGTAACCATTCCATTGACATGATTCTGTATAAGGACACTTGAGATTTTCTACAGGCCAAAACTGAGGCGTGAGCTTCACAAACCCATTCATGCAAATGAGCTGTAGGTGACTGATACATTTCCAAAGGGTGTTTCATCTGCTGTGAAGGTGGTCAATTTTCACAAGATTATTTTATTTATTCAGT